GTTTGAGGGAGATTGTTGGACAGGGAAGTTAATGTAGTGGAATGGTCTGTTGTGTTAGGTGAATAGAAAAGATGAATGGTGGATGTAGGAATGAGTATTAGAGAAGATTGTGGTGTGGAAGGATGGATGAGTGAAGGAGTGATTTGGTTTGTTCATGGAATACGATGTGACGAGAAATATGAATTTGATGTGATTTGAGGTTATAGCAGCGATATTTGTGGTGAGAAGATGAGCATCCTAGAAATAGGCATTCATGCGAGCGAAGTTGATGTTTGTTGGTTGTGAGAGGGCGAAACCAAGGAAAATAGAGACAACTAAAGATTTTAAGGTGATTGTATTTTGGAAGATGACCGTGAATGAGTTTAAAAGGAATTTTAGAGTGGCAAGCCTTTGTAGGTAGACGGTTTATTAGGTAATTAGATGTTAGGAGAGCTTCTGCCCAAAAATATAATGGAAGATTGACGGCGTTGAGTAGTGTACGAGTGGTTTCAAGTAGGTTGTGATGCTTGCGTTCAGCAAAGACATTCTGCTCTTGTGTGTATGGACAACTAAATTAATGAGTGATGCCAATAGATTGTAGGAAAGTTTTGAAGTTATGGCTTGTAAATTCTCCGCCGCCACCTGAACGGAAAGTTTGAATTTTAGTGTTGAAAGAATTTTTGATCATATTATGGAATTGTAAAAATTTTGAGAGCATTTGATCATTTGGGGTTAATGAGATAGAGCCAACAAAAGCGTGAGTAAGAATCAATAAAAATAAGAAAGTATCTGTAGCTGTTGATTGATAGAATTGGGGATGGTCCCCAAATGTATGAGTGAATTACAGCAAATGGAATGGTAACATGATTTGTATTTAAGTGAAAGCATAACTTATGGCTTTTTGCCATATTATAAGGTTTGCAAAGAAAAGAACTAGATGGAGTACATATAAATGGAACTAAATTTGCTAAAGTTTGCATAGTGCGATCATTGGGATGACCCAGTAGAGCGTGCCATAAAGATGGGGAAGCGATGTTTGAATGGAGCGTTGTGGTGGAATTGTTGCTGGTGGTGGTGATGGAATAGAGACCATCACGGGTTTGACCACGAAGTAGAACTTGATGATCCATGAGATCCTGAATGGTCAAACCATTTGCATCAAATGATATAAAACAATGATTATCTGATGTTAATTTGTGGATTGTCAGTAAGTTGTGGGAGAGAGAGGGCACATGTAGGAGATTATGGAGTAGAAGCTTACGAGGCGCATTTGGGTGTGGCAAGATACCTTGGCCTTGATGCTGAATTGGCATGGAGCTGCCATTGGCGATGGAAATAGAATCGGACCTAAGATACAATTGGGATTGGTGAAGGTTCGAAGGGTCGGCTATGAGATGTGTGGAAGCTCTGGAATCTAGGACCAATTCAGTTGTTTGAGTTTTTTTGTGAATGGATGAGCAGGGTGTGAGATGAGCTGGACGGGAATGCTGAGTATTGGAGGTTACAACGGTGCCAACAGGAAATGACGGTGTGACCGAGCTTGCCATAGATCTGGCAGGTTGGACGAATGTTAGTGTTCGTAGGCGGTGGACGAGGATTGGTTGAAGGTGATCTAGAGAAGGAACCGCAATCGCGATTGGAGTGGTTGGTGTTTCCTTTGAGCTGCTTGGTGCGAACAGAGTAGAGAGCAATGTTGTCTGCGAAAGGAGTCGTCTACTTCTGAAGTTCATTTTGGAGGTTGATTTCTTCTCTACAGAGAAGCGAATATATAACATCTAGACAAATCGGTAGGAGAGATGTTCTAATGGATGTCCTAAACGAGTTGTAGGTTGGTGGAAGTCCATTCAGGATGTAAAAGATTATATCTTTGGTGTCGCCGTGGGAGCCAGCTGTAGCAATATTGTCTACCATTGTCTTGATCTGAGCAAGATATTGATTCATTGTGGTGTCCCTCATTTGAATGTGGTGAAGTTCATTTTTCAACTGGATGACCCTAGATATGTTTGTTGGTTGAAAGGATGTTATCAAAGTAAGCCAAATCTTGTGTGAGGTGGAAAGATGAAGGATGTAAGGGAGCACATAAAGTGAAATCGTGGAGAGCAAGGCTGATACGAAGTTTTGATCGATAAGTTTCTATAGACGGACATCGGGGTGGGAGGTGGGTTCATTGGGATAGGTTTGTGTTCCTGTGGGATAACCTTCGAAACCGTTGGCTGAAAATAGTTTGAGAATTTGCAAGCTCCATATAGCATAATTCTCAGTATTAAGCTGTAAATCTATGTTGCATCGATACGGATACGGCGACACGGATACGACACGATATAGATACGGGACACGTCAATTCTTAAAAATACATGATACGGGTACGGCGCGGACACGGCATCATAATTTATAAATCATACATAAAAACTAAGAAAGCAATCAAAGCATAATATTTTAAATTACAAAAAAAAAATGACAACAACATCATTTGTAGCCTTGTAGCTTATAATATCAAAATATAAGTAAGCATTAAATGTCTAGTACAACAACAAAAGCAACATAAATTGTCTAGCACATAAAGTTTCAAGTATTCAATAGAAGGAATGATATGATTAGCTTCTTCTGTGGTTTGTCTTGAACATCTATATCATCTTCAATAAATGTCATAGCTTCTAATTCAGGCTCATCAAATGAAAGATTAGTAATTTCTAATATTCCCGTATCCATCTCGGAAATGAGAGAACTTTGCTCGCAGCCGCGGAAGGAAATACGACACATCTTTTTTTTTTCGGATTTCTTTTTGTTTTTCAACGGACACGTGTATCGGATACGCGTGTCCTTTTGAAATTAAATAGTATTTTAATTGGATACGTCTTTGGCGTATCCGACACGTATCGGTGGAGTATCGGAGGCGTATCCGTGTATCGGTGTATCGGATACAGCACGCCTTCATAAATAGGTGTATCGGTGCAACATAGCTGTAAATTGACTATGAGTTTAAGATTTGATATCATAAACTTTAATGGTGCCGGAACAGTGAAGTCCACCATTGAAGTTGATAGGGAGGAAGCAGGAAGGACTGCCGTGGAAGAAATCTGATCTCCCATTGGACTTTGTGGCGGTGAAACTCAGTGAATCTCTGATAACATGAAGGAATACCAGGACGGTTATTAAACTACAGGAAAGAAGGAGAAAGAGATGGCTAGTTGAGGAAAGCACTGTGGCACAGCACATGAATTGTATTGCTTAACAGTTGTTTATAAGAGTATTGAATATAAACAGAGATAACAAGCAGTGAGACAAGAGTGGCAGAGGCCATTCGGTGACAGGGAATGTGGAGCAGAAGGACGGCTGGAGCAGGAGGTCCATAGTGAAGGTTAAGAGCATGTGAGCTGAGTGCGTGAATGAGTGCTGACAGATTACACTTCTAGTTGTTGTAGTAAAATGATAGAAAAATTAAGGAGTTAAAAGTGAAATATTGAGAAACAGTTCAAACAAAGAAGGAAGAGAATTTTTAATATTTTTTTTATTTTTTAGAGTTTGTTGTATATTAACATTTATTTTAAGAAAACCGGCTCAAAAATTGACAAGTCAAGTCAGGGAGTTTGGCTTGTTAACTTTTAGAGTTGAACTCATAAGTGATCCAATTATTGATTCAAGCCTGAGTCAGCTCAGGAGTCATCTTGTCTCCATTATACTCCTATCTCTAACAAAGACATGGTGATTGATGTTGAAGCTAAAGGGTCCAACCAGTCACCATAGAAGTCACCATGACAAAGAAGCCATTATCTAGTAAACATGTGATACCAAAGACCCAAATTACAAATAATTATTAAGAACGAGTGTGCATGGAAAATATGTTGAATCTGGAACAATATGAGCCTCTTTGTGTATATGCGTAAGAGAATTAGCAAGAGATATGATGAAATCAAAGGACAGTCCGAAAGTTCTGTGAAAGTTTAGACATGCACAGTCAACACTAAAGCTTTTACAACTTAACTTTGGATCATATATATATATATATATATAAACCATTAATATAAGTAGATCTCCTTTTTTTTAAGGTTAAAATTTGAGTTTTATATTAAAATTTCAATACTTGATATATAAGTATATATAATTTATGTGGCATATATGTAGATCTCCATTTTTTTTTTTAAGGTTAAAATTTGAGTATGGGGCATTTCAAACAATAAAGAGAAGAGCTCCAATACTTAGGCAATCCAAGCATCTAGCACTTCACACAAAGAGACAAGGTAATGTGTTATTTTTTAAGGAAAAAAAAAATAAAAGCTCGCCTTATTTGTACAAAAAGTACTTTAAATATGAAACCTATGCATGGAAGGAATTATGATCAAAACTACAACTATCTATAGTCTAGGCTTGCATCTCTGAGTTCCTCAAACTTTAGAACGTAAAAGTTCAGCGAATTTATTCTAACCTTGTACCATGGATGATAGGCTTCTCCAAAGCTTACTATCAATGGTTTCTAAAAAGAGAACTAAACTTAAGGAAAAGTTCATAAATGCCCTTTGGGCTTACAATATAACACTAAGAAAAAGTTCACAAACTAAATTAAACCACATAACAACCAATAATATAACGACTCAATCGTGGTCGTCGATCTACGGCCACTTCTATGATAAACTTTTCATATATTGATATCCGCATCACCGCGATTACAAGAGACACGTAAGTCTCCGTTTAAGCCCTCGGCCTCGAAACATACACATGGTTTAGAGACAACTTGCAATTAAATTCAAGACAGATTTCAACATTCAAGAGTTTGGTTGTTTATAAACTTCCATATTTTAAATTTGGGGTGTGGAAAAAACCACTGATTCTACATAGTTAATATTTAAAAAATACTTAGGCATATAGGTCTGTAAGTTCTAAAGTAGTTGTAAATTTTAGGTACCAGACTGCATATTTTTAATCCTGATTGTTATCGTTTGAATAAAAGTTTCAATTGTTAGCACATTCCATTTAAAAAGACACAACACACAGAAAAGTTAGACAGGTAAATGAGTAATGCTTACCATGACCAATTCTTGAGATGCGGTTGTAGCTTAGGTTGAGAACCCTCAACTTTGTAAGGTCCCTGAGGCCTTCAATAGTTGCTATCTTGTTCCGTGATAAGTCAAGGGTGTGAAGGCCCTTCGGAAGAGAACCAGGAGAGATATGAACTACATAATGCAAGCCGAGAATTATATGTAAACATGAACTCTTTGAGTAAGAAAATATAATAACATATTGTCTTTCTAGTTTAAGGCACCTACATACCTATGCAGTTTCCAGAGAGATTGACAGATCTAAGGCTTCCAAAGGCAGAGATGGTAGGAATAACCTTAAGTCCCATGCAAGAGATATGAGCCACTGAGGAAAATGAATTCAAGGATTGTATAATATTGTTAGCCCGCATAACCTCCTCAATTGCATGTCGACTAGTGTGAGAATGATTCTTCCCAGAGGATTCCCCAATCTCCAAATGATGATGACCAATAGTTCCTTCAGCTCCCATTTCTTCATCATTGAAGGTACAATCTGCAAGGCTATTTATCCAAGCATTAACTCTGTCTCGAGGAGAAGACTCCAAAGAAAATGCAACCCACTGGTTCTCTATTGCCTTTTCTTTCATTTTATCAGGCTTTCGGCTAGGTTCATGTGTATCAGATGAGTATCCAACTTTTTGATTAGCAGTAGTAGCAACTGAGACGAATTGTGCAGGAGCGCTAAGCTTGTGGAGATTCCTGTGGCTCCATAGAAAGAGTTTCCACCAGACTTTCCGGCTTCTAGAGGGAAGCACCTGGCATGAAGAACGTTTTTTGAGCATCACTCTATCAGCACTGCAAGAAGTTTTTACAGATAATGGGCTGCTATAAGCCTCATAATTAATTTCTCCTCTGCCTAAAACTAACAAATTTGGGAGGTTACAATGAGAACTGGACTTCTTTGCTGAGCTGATTGATTCAGTAGCTCTCTTAGTCTCAATATTAGAACATGAGCGCTTAAGAACTGGTGATCTAATGAAAACTGTCCGCTCCAAACCAGGATCACTTACATGCCCACTTGCAAGCATTATCTCAGGGCTGATCCCTTCATCTGTCTCCACCTTGTTCTCAAAACCATAATTGTTTAAATCAGTGTTTGATCCATGGGAAGCAAGTTCACCTTTGGCTTGGAGATCAAAGTCAGAGTAATCTCTCTTCATTGATTGAATCTCATCATGTTCATCACCCCCCTCATAAGCTGTCTCTCCAGTAAACTCAGCTCTAGGCAAGGTTTCATTAACCGGTGCCTCAGAAATGAAGGTCGATCTTTTCCCATGAGGAAAAGATGACTTTGAAACTGGAATATGAGACTCCTGGATGCCATTCTCGGTGGAAGATGTAGTCAGATTGCTTGACTTAACGTGAAATTTACCATCACTGATACTTATATTACTATCATCCAGGCCTTTGACTGATTTCTATTCCAAATCAATAGTCCAAATCAGCTCTAGATTGAAAGAACATCAGAAATTTTTTTTAAAAAAAAAATGTATGAAAACAAGATTGCTGCTGCTTACCTTAGATTTCTTCTTCTTTCCAGCCGAAAACAAAGTCAAACAAGAAAATATTGCCATTATGCAATATTTAGACAATAAAACAGTGAAGGGAAATGAAATATATCACAATGTTGCCAACCTTAAGATATGTTACATAACTTATGATATCTGCTACAAATCTTACAGTATTATCGAAAAGGAGAGGAAAGTGATAGCTGAGAATGTAGAAATGCAAATTAGGATCGCATAGCCTTCAAGGGTTAGCCATTGTCGATTGGAGATCCCTTCTGATTACAACAGAAAGGCTGACAAAGATGCAGGGCATAGAGAGAAAAGTAATATAGGAGGACAATAGCATCCTTCTGATCCCACACCTTTCTCAAGGTGTAAGGATAATAGTCCGCAGTGATGGCCAGAGTGCTCGAAGTATAAGTGTGATATTAAGAGATATCCTTTTTGACTCCGTCTTGAAAAATAAACCTACAGAACCATTAATAACATTTCACCACACAGGCACGGAAGAAATAGGAGAAAAAGGTAATATTTCATCCTCAAATTTCCTGTTAATCTCTAAGCTAAAAACTGCCTGACAGTATGCAAATAAGCATTTATGCAAACATGAATGAAACCAAAGAAAGAAGATTCTTCGTTCTATTAGAAAAGAGGAAAATAAAAGAGTATTAGTTCATAACAAGAAATTTTCAGACCTCAAATAACACTTACAACCAGTAAAATTCCAAGATGACGAATCCACAGCTCATAAAAAACAGGCCTAAATATACGAATAAGACCATCTACCTCTCATTACAAACTAAAATCGACTAGAAAAAGGAATCATTCTTACTATTGCACAGCTTAACTAACAAAGGACTAGAAAGTAATAATTCCTGGCCTAATCAAAACAATTTATCCGAAAATACCTTCCAAAAAAGAAGAAAAAAAAAACAGAGCAAAACAAGTTCACAAGATCGCGTATTTCCAAAAAAAAAAAAAATCAACTTATGACATCAAGCAAACACAAATTCAAACCCAAAAAGAATAAAAATCCAAATCATTAACCTAACGACCCAAAAGCCAACCTTTGGCCTCCCACAAAAAACCCTAAGGCAACTAATCTTCCTCGCAGAAGAAACTTTAGATAGAAAGTGGAAAAGAATAAAAGATTGAACAAACGAGAGAGTAAAAGTACCCAAATATCCCGTCTTTTGTGCTCCAAATCAGCAAGTTCTAATTTTGATGAGAGCTCTCCTTACAAAGCGCCAGAGACGGATGCTTTGGCTTGGGAAGGGGAAGAAGAGATTGAGAAGGGAATAAGAATAAAAAAAGGCAGAAGACAATGGTGGTGGTCGGAGCCGCTGAAATTCTCTCACCAACGAGGTTCACACACGAGCGCTCTCTTCGCTCCAACGCTCCCTCACTCTCTCTCTCTCTCTCACCAACGAGGTTCACACACGAGCGCTCTCTTCGCTCCCTCTCTCTCTCTCTCTCTCTCTCCTATCTGTATTTCTATTTCTATCTCTATACCGCAAAATAATTTTAAATTGTATACGTAAAAAACAAACCTTACGTTGGGGAGCTTTGCTTCGTGATTTTTTTGTTTTAGTGTGTCGTCAGCAAACACGTTTAAAGCATTAATTGATTGTTACTATTTAATTGCCCTATTAATTTAGTATATCTAGTCCCCTAAAAATTGTGAAAATCAGATGGGAAAAATAAACCGGTAGGAAAGCTTCGTGCTTCAACAGATTCGATTCAAATTAGGGTGAAATAGGATGATGTAATAAATAAAATTTTGATGACATAAAAATTATGTAATAATATTTATTTTTATTAGAAAATAAATTGAATTTTCCCTATATTAATATTTTATATAATTTTTTTATTTATTTATAAAAATGTGTATAGAATTTACCTATAAAGAAGTTAAGCTAAGGATAGACGGTCTTCGAATAATCATCACTCTAAGTCCTTGACATTTTTGCCTATGTATGTTTTTAAGTCGATAAGCTCCTAGGTTATTTAACTCTCATGTGATATATAGGACCCCAATTTATTGAGTGCTAAATATTAATAAAAAGCATCAATTCTCACAACCCAACCTAATATAACCCACAAACAAAATGGGTCAAATCATGTTGGGTGGCGACGAACCAAGCTTAAGATCTTTTTTTGGGAACTTTTTTAGATCTCTTTAATAATTAATAGATAACAGAGCTACTAATTAACCGCCAATGAATAGAAAACATACTGATCCATACATAATAATAATAATAATAATAATAATAATAATAATAATAATAATAATAATAATAATAATAATAATAATAATAATAATAATAATAATAATAATAATAATAATAATAATAATAATAATAATAATAATAATAATAATAATAATAATAAAATCTTTACAATATAGTACATGCATGACTATAACAAAAGCAAAGTAGAGCAGAATAGACAATAGCCATAACTATAATAAATTAAAAAACAAAAACAAAAAAAATACCCATATTGACTCAAACTATTAGAACCTGAAACCTTAGCTACTCAACGACCCTCTTACCCTTATCCTAACTTGAAACATAAAGCAAAATAGGTATGAGGCAACACAGCTGAGTAAGTCACGCCCATCAGTCTAACTTTTAAATATTTAACCAATGATACGTTACTAAATTAAAATATTTATTCACAGACTATTGTACTAAACATAATGGTTCTAATATATAATAAAAATTAAATAGGTCTTGCACAAAATATAAATAAACAAGCACATCATATATTAGAGTATAAAGTAATAGATTTTTTTAAGACCCTTTTACCTCCCACTAAAAAAAGATATCAAAATCAGGCCCCTTTGACTATCTATCCTAACATATCAAAAAATAGACCCTTATGACTCTTAAATGCTTAACACAATAAATATTCAAAAATTCAAGTCCGAATAGCTTCAAGTGTATTCAAAGCAGTAGAACTTTCTCCAACCTCTAGAACTTCTTAAAATAACATATTTCAAGTAGGTAAGCACATATATAATTGCATTTTATTAAAAAAGGTACTAATTGAAATTCAAAAATTCATAAAAATGCTATATCAATAGGCAACATATTCAACTACAAAGCTGAATTTCATAATTTCAAAATTCTACGAGATTACCAACGATTGTTCAAAACACTTTTTTGAAGCTTTAAATATTTTACAACACTTTTAAATGTAAAAATTATTTTTCAATTTGCTAAAATAGTACATTTTTTAGTTGACTTAAAGAAAATTTCTAAAGAAATATTTAAATATCCAGAATAATTATATATAACATACAAAAAGTTGCATGATAAAAGTTTAATAAATATTAAATTATCCTCAACTTTACACTACGAATTTAAAATTTTAATAAAAAATTTCTTAAATTTTCACAATATTAAAGTTTGAGATTGGTACTACCTCGATCCGAACAACTTTCAGAATTAGACCAATAATAAAAAATGGATCAAAGTCACCTGAACCCTAGGCTTTCTCTCATTATAGTCTTCCTCTCTCTCTATAAAGGAAGTTTAAGGGGGTTTATTTGGCCAAAATAAAATTTGAAGTGTATTTTAATTTTTTTTTATTAAAATTTGAACATGCACCATTGTGCTCCAAATAGGGGACCATTGCATCGTCCCTGTTTATTTTAAAATGACCTAAACTAGAGAGTTAGCACCACAGCGCTCCCAAGGAAATTTTTTTAGATTTCTATTTCATGCACACAGGCCCCTAGGATACATTTTAGAACCTAATTCAGACATTTACATGCATATAAAATATTCCTTTATATGTATAGAATAATAATGTAGAAGTTCAAACACATATGGCTTACTAGGTTGTATAAGTCTTACTAGGCTTAGTCAAAATTGATTTAACACTTTTTCAGTTGGTAGTACGATTCTCCATCCTTAGAAAAATATCATCCTTGATATTTCAACACTCAAGTCAAGTATATAAATTAAGGTACAACCATGTCATCTCTAATTCTTTCTCTCATGTAGCTTATCTTTCAACCCTCTGTTTCCACTTCATCTTAACCATCAAAATTTATTTATTTCTCATATTTTTAATAACATATGTTCGTTGTTGTAACTTTGTTTTCAAAATTATATTTTTATATCATGTGAGTTTTTGATGATACTAAAATATTATTGTGTTAATTATTGTTTCTCCTAACACATATTAGAAAATTTTTGTTTGTGTTATTTGTGTGTACTAACATTTCAGGGAAATCATACTCCAGACTATCAAAAATTTTAAGACAGATTAGAATAGGATTTCTTGTAATTGAAGTCTCTAATTTTTTTATTTTCTTGACTCTGAGAGAGTGTGATTGTAATTGGGTAACTGTGCACACACACACTAGGGGAGTAAGTCAAAACTTTTATTTTTAAAACTAATCATACTATATGATTCCTGAATCATACTTGACAAATTGACCTGAAAGATCCTTTTGAAGTAAGTTAGTCAAATCATGCATTAGAAAATTTCTTTTGAACTGTTCGTATTGTACGAAGTTATTTTCGTACAGGCGATGTCTAGAGTATGAAATGTATACGTACCAGTTCGTCCCGAACAAACTCACCAATTTTTGTACTAATCGTATTGTATAAAGTGGAGTTAATATAGACGACGTCTAGAGTATAAAATGGGTGAATACTAATTTGTCCCAAACGAACACTAAATTTTTTGAACTATTCATACTATACGAACTTGGGTTCATACATACAACGTCTTGAGTACAAAATAGGTTTATCCATATTCATAACATACAAAGCATTATTTGAATTAACAAGTTTATACTGTACGATGTGGGGTTCATATATATGTCGACCAGAGTACGAAATGGATTCGTACAAAATCATACTAGATGAATCTATTAAATTTTAAATTATTCATACAATACGATGTCAGTTTATACATACGACTAACAGTGTATGAAATCAGTTCATACAGGATCATACAAGGTTTTTTTTTACTGTTCATACGTATGAAGTATGATCGTACTATACGATCCAAGTACATTCAAATTGAATTTTTAGTTTTCTAATAGTTTTTCTTATCCTTCATATATAAGAGTCCTAAAATTGACTATCCAATACTTCTTCTACAAAATTTCTCTTGGGAGTGAAAGTGAGAGTGTTTTAGGAGAGTGTTTGGGAGTGAGGATTCAAAGATCTTGTAAATAGAATTTGTGAAGAGTTCACGAGATATCCTAAAGGTGAGGATATCTTTTTATGTTCTTCAAATCTCTACCCTATTTCTTTGAAGACTCTTGAGAGAAGATCTTTGAAGAAGATCCGGTACTCTGCCATCACTAGGAGGGTAAGAAAGGATGTTGGACGCTGGTACTCTACCATCACAAGGAGGGTAAGAAAGGACATCGGTACTCTATTATCATGAGGAGTATGAGAAAGAATGTTAGTACTCTGCCATCACCAAGAGGGTGAGAAAGAATGACAGTACTCTACCGCACTGGGGTTGGTGGAAGAGAGGTTATTGTAAGAGCTTCTCCATCTTTCTGTAGGAGAAAAATGAGAGTTACTTTGGTATAGTGTAATACCTGAAGAAGGAGTCTTCAGGGAGTGGATATAGATCTAGTTGGACCAAACCATTATAAAATTATGTGTTTTTATACTTTTACTTTTTATTTTTTTCATATTTAGTATTTTTGGTTTAAAAATATTTATTAGAAAATTTTAATTATTATACAAAATATCTAAATTGATTTTTAAAATTATCAAGAGATTTTTAAATAACAAATTCACCCCCCCCCCTCTTGGTTAGCCTTGGGACAGTTGTATTAGGTCTAACAATATATTCAAACTTATATTATTATCCTTTTTAGATCTTATCTATACCTAAGATTTGGTTATACTTCAACATTTTTATAGATATTTAATTTTTAGAATCAAATACTCACTTCTTTAATGATGATACGTGTAACACACTGTGAATATCAAACATATGCTCTAGCAATAATAAGAAGTAGAAAAACTTTCCAATCCTCTCAATAACTTTAGAAGGTCCAACATTCCTTTAGTAATACTCAGTGAAGCAGTATATAGCTGCTCCTATTTCGACTTGGTTTAGTAAGGACAATCCATTAAAATTTTTGCATTTGCACCTCTTGCATGTAAATGGATGAGAAATATGGACATTTTTTTTTGCATAAATTTTTTTGAATATATTCTGAAGTAGATCATGGAGGCCAATGTAAATGGATGAAAAATATGGACATTTTCTCCTAGGAGCATCATGGTGCAAGAGTGGTGGCACTAGAACATTAAGCTCTCATATTTCTATTTTGGTTGTGTAGTGGCTCCGCTTCTCGGAGCTTTATGGAATTTGGTCAATTTTTTATAAATTTATTAAAATCCACTTATTTTAAGTAAATAAAATTAACC